ATGACACAGTAATGTGATACGAACGAATGAATGAGCAGTGCTGTAGCAATGCTGTTTTCGACGACCCCAGCTTTGAGTGAATATCGGCTGCACTGGGGCCGTGCACAGCCAAAGACAACTTTACTGAAGAACAAGGCTGCACTAACCTGGCCACTTAATTTCACTAATATTAATCATAAGATCCGACCCCCCGTAACACGCTCCTAGTCCGGGAGGTGGAGGTATAATTACTCAATCATGACTGCATTTAATGGTCTGCTGGCAAGTCTGCATGCCGTAGATCTAGCGCTTGCTATGGTCAGGGTTCGGCAACACTTGATGCGAAGATCGACAGGCGCCGATTAGGTGCATGACTAATCTGTTTACATTACCATGCATGATCGCGTGTATGTTTCGTGTTGTTCGTGAGAAGCACTTGACTCAAAGTTTCATGTATCGTCTGGCACGAGGCTCAGATTAACCATATTGTGTGGAGCTGCCCCACGACGTGTCCAATTAAAAATGAAAATACGATGCCACCTCGTTAAAAAGGGCTCGCAGCATGGCGTTGATTATGCCAAACTTTCCACTAATGACCTCTGAATTGATTTATTATAATGAGTAAGAATGTAATTGGATGAATTTTGTGTATAACTGACTGCAACTACATATTTGTTCCCCGATGAAGGATAAGCACATTTCGCCTATGAATCTTTGTAAATCTGGCGGACATGCAGTACATTCCTCTTCTGACAGACATTTCACAGTTCTTGGAGGAAGAGGTCGTTTGGAGATTATTTGTGCGTCGGTTGAAATGCCTATGAAGAGCCTATGTATTTTGCCTCTTGGCGAGGTGACATGTACTTTGTTTTGCTAGTAAGTTGCCGCATTGAAAGTATGCCGCTATCGCGCAATGTACGTGCCATTTTAAATATCGTGGCGTGACTGCTCACCATTCAACTGTTTCAGCTGGGATGAGCCGGCCCGACAGATCCATAACCACCCTGCGTGTTTTTCGAAATGACTCGAGGCTCGGAGCTCTTTTTGTGTGAATACTTGGTGTTTTTCATGCATCAGCATACACAAGACTTAAACACAAAATTTCGTGAACAAAATCTACGCAATCAAGCACTGGCATACAATATCTATGATTGCAACTTTACAATTGTCTCCCAGCTTGTTGTGTAGTAGCGTGCAGTCGTATATCACTGTGCTTTTGTTTGAGACCGTTATAGCCTGAGTTCTTGCTGCAAGAATGACATTGAGTTTTAGTTTGAAGGGTCGTTTTGGATGTTGTTTTGTCATACAAAACCATGAACCATTATGAACCATGGCAAAAGTAAAGGAAAATTGATCTGCAATATTGGGTAGTCAGTTCCCCCATCTGATGGACAGTTTTTGGCGTCCTTTAACTAGAGCATACCAACTAGACAGTTTTTTCGAGTCCACATGCTGACGTAATGCACATTTTACACTGCTAGAAAGGTTGTGATATCACATACATCGTATGTAATACACTTCTTTGACATCAACCTATGCAAGACGTGGCAACGATGTCACACCCTGGTCAAACCTGCGCAGAAGGTTAAGGTGAGCGACATGCGACGGTCAGGGCGTAGTCTCTCCACTGCGATGTAACGGTCCACGGACTGTTCCTCTGGACCATTTAAGCATGCTGGACAGACTGTACGCAAAATACTAGCGTCACGGTCATTCTCTTCAGAAAGCTGTGACAAAAAAGCGCGGCATAATTCAGTTGCAATAGGCAACAACTAGTTTTGCACGTGCGTGAAGCCACCTCCTGATAGTCTATATCCGGCAACCCAGCTCCAAAATGTTTGGGTTTTGTATATTCGGCTTGGGCCTTACGTGCAACACCAAAGGATTTGGCCACAAGGTTAACGGCGCGGCGGTGCCTCTGATGGCCTGAACCGTACGGTCCCGGTCCCTCCAATATTCTCCAAATTATAGATTATCCACGCTGTTATCCTGTTGTGCGTATTTGGAGTTAATGTGCGTGCATGCCGCTTCTGAAGTTGCAGTTATGTAGTGCTGGACAATCGAATGTGCGTGAATGCCGCTTCTGAAGTTGCAGTTATGTAGTGCTGGACAATCGAATGTGCGTGAATGCCGCTTCTGAAGTTGCAGTTATGTAGTGCTGGACAATCGAATGCGCGTGTCGAATACACCAAAACCAACACGAGTCGAACAACGAAATCGGCGGTCCAGTGTTGTGCCCCGGCTTAGGTGACCGACCGGGCGCCCTCTTAACACACCCAACCCGACCGATTCTGTCTGGTCGGATCTGCTACTCTTACCATTTGAACAACCAAAATAACTCACCCTCTGTTTGCGACCTAATGCCCATTATCTCAAAATAAATAACACAAACAACCGTTTGCTAAGCAAGCAGTGCTCTTCTCCTCGTCCATCTGGTAGGTTACAGTCGGCGGCGGACACGGTGCGTGGCGCCGCTGTGGCTGCCGCGTGCGTGCTGTGCTGTGGCGGGCAAGCGGCGGCTCCGCGCGAGCTGGTGACCCGACGGCGCCGTGCTCGCGGCCGACCTGTGCTCCCTCTCTCCCGGGCTGACCTGCCTGACCTGACCTGCGGCCGCCGGAGCGGCGGACGGCAGGTGGCGCCGGTGCCGGGAGTGGTATCTGCTGGTGCTGGCTGGTGGGTGTCGGCAGGCCGCCGCGCCGGAGGTGGTGGTCAGCGCCGGGCGCGTCCCGTCGACTCCCAGACCTGTCGCCGGTCCGCGCCTGGCGCGCTCGTCGCCGCCGCCGTTCCCGGGGCGACTGTACAACAGGCCGGCCGGCCCGTGGCCATGGCTACCTGTCGGCAATCGATGTGCTGGCCGCCGGCGTCGGGCGCCGTTAAGTGGCGGCCGCGGCGTGTCATGGTCCCATGGTGCCTGCTGCCACTGCGCCGGCCGCCCACCACTACCGACCTGACTGCGGCCCCCTCCCCCTCCCCCCCCCCCTCCCAGCACGGCCGCGCCGCACGCGTCTTTATTCCACCGGCAGGTGTTGGCCACAAATTGCCCAACCTGTGATACCATCACATTTGCTCGCTTAATTCAGCGTTAATACAGCATCAGGTAAAACAGCGCGTTGTCGCAGGTGGTCAAATTAGACACGACACTACTTGTTGATGGTCGCACTCTTTGTGCAGAAGTGCCCCATAGATGATGTTTGCACCGCTTATATTTGCGTAAGAGACAAACCATAACCGTTTTTGAGAAGCAACCAATGTGTTATACAAGCGACGAACACGTGCGCGCACATTGAAGGGTTCCACAAAGACGCCTCTCTGAAAACGGATGGGTGCTAAGAGCTCGTTTGATTTTTCGGCTCAAGGCGAATTCAGTGGTGTCATTTTCTCAAGATGCACTCATGTTTAGGGGGTGCGCAAAGACCTTAAAGCTCGGCAGTGTAAGCCGCGTTTGCTCATAGGAAGCCGAAAACGCGTGATAAAAGTGGATAATAATCGGCTTGGGTGCTTGAAACGGGCTCCTTAGCCCCTTCTTACCATACAGATTCTATGGTTTTCCGATGCGATCCAACAGGCACGTCACTTGCCCGAAGGACTATTTTTAGGGGAGAGGAAGCAGCAGTGATGAAAATAAAGATAGTCCCAACTAAAGCGAGGTGAGTGCGAAACAAATCATCGCAACGAAGGTGGCTCAGTGGTGCATATGGTGTTGAGATGTGAGCCCACTTTGCCTCCCTTTAATCCATTCTGATGTTTTTTTAGACTTGCCCGCTCTAACCTGGACTAATGGAAAAGAAAACGTCAAGCCATGTGAACTGAGATTATAATTGCCAGACAACTCTTCACGTTATATCGTTAATCCATGAAGGAATTGTTAGGATCACATGTTTAACGTCGCTACCCATCGAAGTGTGTCCGGTGCATACGTATAAAAGTCCGGTCTTCACCCGTAGGCTTCTACTTCCTGCAGAAGCCACTGCAACTGATCCTTGTCACTGTCTTAAATGCCTTCGAATATCACAATCTTTGGCATGCTTCTCTCCGTAACACCATTAACCACTTTTGTGCACCACTTAAAATTGCTATAAAACGGAGTCGTTGGTGCATTCTCATTGATCGGCTTGATCGATTGCTAGCATCGATCTGATGAACCCGGGATACCAGCCATAGAGGCTTGTCCACCATATCAGAGTCATTGGTCTCAGTTGACGCCCAGCAGCGACCTCGACTCGTAACTGGCATAGACAACAGCGCCGAAGCCATAGCCACCTTTCGATTACGCCTGTCACCACCCGAGGCCAGAGCGAGCACGACCCGCTCAGCTTTCAAGAAGGCCACGTGGACACATATCACATGTGAAGACACGCATGACCAGGATATGGTGCGTCAACCGCAGAGCTGCGCGCGGCTAGAGTAATAAGGCAGGCTGTGACTTTGACCTACCGTAGGTCAGCGACCTTACAAGGTACATTCAATTTTTGATACCACACGATCCGCTATTCAACTGTCCATAGCTATGCGAAATTTGGCGCGGTGACACCGTGCCGTTTAGAAACCATTTCTGAAAAACCCATGAGGGTCAATTTGACCTCCACCCGAGCGCGTGTCAAACAAAGGGCATCTTCATATTGGGAGGGATCAAGGACATTCATTTATTCTTACACTTGTTCGGCATGCGATGATTACGCACTACATTGATATGAACGTTGATATCGTGTGATGCTGATAATAAAGACATATTGTGCACGAATCGCATGCAAGCGTATCGGTGCCACGACAGGCATCCCAACTACGTCTTGAATACCCAGGTCTAGGCACGTCTATGTTGCTCCTCTAGTATGGCAATACGAGCTTCTGGTTGAAGCAAAAATATCGGCATCGTCTGACATCTCGCGTGGCTTGACATAACAGCGGTCAGCTGGCATCGTGTGTGCCGCATCACGCTGAGGTTTGCAGGAGGATTCACGACTCCCGCCATCATATGGAGCCGCTGACGCGCTGACACGCGGTGATGCCCGTCTGTCGGTCAGATCTACCTGGATGGACCTTACGGCGAGGGGCACCAGGACTGGTACCGGTTCGAGGTGTCCGTGCTCGTCGGCGGCGGCATAGGCGTTACACCGTTCGCCTCCATCCTCAAGGACATCGGCCACAGCAACCCCTCAGCCATCACTTGCAAAAAGGTTAAGACAGCACTGGTGCAGACGAGTTGCGTGCGTCGCTGAATCTTACAAAGCCGGCATTCCGGGAGCCGTGTCATGCTGATATAAGCCCGGATTGAACTTTCAGTCTTTTCTAGCAATTCAAACATCAAACATCGCGATCAACTAATCCGTAACCTAGTCGGCTGCTAACCAGGGCTTCCTGTTGGAATAATGATTGTGGTGAATACGATTACCTGGCCATAGGAGCTTGGGCCATGCTGCATAAGCCCAATACGAAATTAAATCGTTCTCGCTTCGCAATCTGTCAGCTTTTTCAATGGTTGACTGAGCTGAGGCGAGCTGAGCAGGTCTGCTGGCTGTTGAGAAGTAGTTTTTCGCTATTTGTACGTTTATGTCACTGTAAGTGAGCTTGTGGGTACGGCTGACCCAAGCCAGGCCGATGTTTGACCGGGCGGCGTTGGCTCCCAGGTGTACTTCCTCTGGGTGACGCGCACACAGAAGCACTTTGAGTGGCTGGTGGACATCATTCGCGACGTAGAAGACAACGACAAAGGCCATCTGGTCTCCACCCACATCTTCATCACCCAGTTCTACTCCAAGTTTGACCTGCGAACCACCATGCTGGTGAGTGGGGAGCCCGCTCCGCCGGCGGGCACTGCCACCGTGTTCCCGGCGGCTCTGAGGCTTGCCTTCAAGATGCGAGTGTGACAAACGGCTCGGTTTTAAGGTGAGAGAACAGCAACTTTGAGTGCATAGGTAAGTAGGAAAGCGCCCTGTAGTCGTGGTAGGGTTGCTGTTATTCGGAAACCACTGATCCTCGTCCGGTTAGATGGGATGAAACAAACGCCCTCCGGTCTTCGGGGCGATTATCTGGACCGATTGACTGATAGTTATGAAATTGGGGCTAGGTGAGCGTGGAACGCCTTGGATTTCAGGCCATCTGGTGTGACACCTTATACATGGGATCATCGTATACATCGATGTTGAAGGCGTAAATGGACCACACAACAAACGTCACCCCTGCCCGCAATCCTTGTAGGGATCTGTCAATGTCAGGGTCATGACACCAGTCTGAGTTTTAAGACTAGCTCACTCAGTCTGCCAAACCATTATGTCATGCAGCCAAACGACCCCACCCTCTCATTTTTCATTCGGCGTGCGATTTTATGACAAGGGGTCTTTACTCATAACCAAGTACACCAAACATACGGCGTCACATTTAAATCCGGTACGGAGGCAGTGCTGTGCGCTGTTGCCAGCAATGTCGGTGGTGGCGACCAAGGGATATCGCTCCGAACCGCCATAGTAAGCCTCACTGCAGCCGATTCTTTTTGGCATATTGACACGGTTTTGACGTCACGAACTTTCCGGGCCTGCCATTGGTCTAGGAGTACCCTGCAACGTCGCCGGAGTTGGCCTAAAACACTGCTCAGCTGGGTGTTTATGCCTGCCTGATGCTGGCATGATATGTTAGGATATTCTTAGCATATCTTTGACATTAAAACGCTTGGTTTCCAGGTATTTGTGCATTCTTTCCAAAGATGCTGGTTGTCGGGAACCGATATGCGAAATCCAAGCAATTCATGTTTGTGCGGCCGCGATTTTGATTTGGTTGCTCAGATCAAACATCAGAACAAGTTTCAATTGCCAAAGAAACAAGTTGCAAGGTTGCATTCGAGACTTTAAACTTTCTAGACCGAAGTGTTTTTTGTTGCAAACGAAAGATCGTAGCGAATAGCTGACGTATCGAACGTGCCATGAATATTAAAAAGTCGCGCGTGGCCAAGACGTCGCAGAGTGCTATGATCCTCAACCCACAACGACATTGTGCTAACGAAATGACGATATCCATACAATTGATGAATACAATGATACCTGACATCCATACAACTACGGCCTCTGGCAGCTGTCTCCACACTTGGCCACGAGATCAGAGTTTTAGTGTTGGAGCTCAAGGTTGGTGAGATAAAAAAATCGAGGTTCGTTGTCGCAACTAAGGTGGCTTGGGCCTTAGTACCTACTCAAAGCTCTATGGAAAGGTAGCTAAGAATAAGTTTAGATTATGTTTGTGCGCTTTGTTGCCCACCTCAGCGTTTGAAGACATATATTTTGATCCTGTCTGAACCATCGGTTTTCGTTTCAGTACATCTGTGAGCGCCACTTCCAGAAGATCAGCAGAAGATCCCTGTTCACCGGCCTGAGGTCCATAACCCACTTCGGCCGACCAAACCTGCCGTCGATCTTCAGCGCTCTGAAACGCGTGCATCCAAAGGTGAGATATGCAGTTTTACGGAATGATTATGACGAAATGTTAGTACTACGGATGGAAAGTTCGAACTAGTGTCCTCTTTTGGTTTATTAGTTTGTACACAACTTTTCGGCCAGTCACTTCTCCGGCCGTCTTCAGATGTTATTCCCTACTTAAGACGACTGGGAAGTGCTCAACCTCAGCCATGCACGTGTCAAAATTCGAAGTTTCTCCCTAGAATTGCTGAATGTTTTGGAGCAGTAGTCTTCTGATCACGAGCCCAGCGACCCACCACGGACTTTACCGCGAAGGACGACGTTTTGGTGCTAAATTTTACTTTTATTCAGCTCCTGGATTTCAGGGAAGTATCTTCAGAATTAGGAGCTATATTGACCTGAAGTATACGCTTCACCTACTGATGGGAGTCGCGAGCCAATGCTAGGTCTATTGCCCGCATTTTTCTAACCTTTCAGTTTCCATTATGGTTACCTCATTGTATGCTGATCGGTGATCGGCCTGTTGACCTTGCATGATCTGCAATGCCGGGCGTCAGAGTAGTACCCCTGGTGGTTGCCTTTCTGGGCTCTTCCAGTCTGAGCGACGGCTCGCGAGTTGTTCCTCATGTGTAGGGTTTGCCACACCTGCATAGTATGAACGGATAGCGAGCTGTTCTTCATGTATAGGGCCTGTCTCACTTGCACGGTACGAACGGATGGCGAGTTGTTCATCATGTGTAGGGCTTGTCACACCTGCATAGTATGAACGGATAGCGAGCTGTCCTTCATGTGTGGGCCTGCCACACCTGCATGGTATGTCGTGTATGCAGTCTTCAAATATGTTTAACTGTCGGTTGTCTGACGTTGGTTAGAGTTATCCGGACCATTGAGCTGCTTCTAAAAAATTCCTGATATTGCATTATCTACATATCTTTCTGGTCTTCTCTGACGAACCGTTCTGTTGAGGTGATGTACCTTTGCTTTTGTTTTGTTTTTTTATTTTACTTCTCTGCTTGTTCAGCGCGCCGTTTGGGTTTGGGTTTGGGTTCAAATGCAAGAAGCTCAAAGCTCACGCTGAACAACCAGGGCAGCCAAAGAAAAAAATAGACGCAACGGTGTCTTTAGCTCACAAAAGGGTCTTGGGGCGAAATAAAAGCATCAGTGACAAACACCCCCGAGACACGATACACAAAGCATGCAGTCGTGGCTGGCCATACGAATGAGAAACAGTCACCCTTTGTCGGTCAGACTGGAAGAGCACAGAGAAGCGGTTCAGAGCTATGCTCTAGTGTCTGGTATGGCATAAGGAATGCTTGTCGTGTTCTTTCGTTACCCTAGCGCTTAAATGCGATGATTGCAACTGCATTATCATTGTTTTAATATAAAGAATGGAGCTAAGTAATAACCTAAACAACATGCCTTTCAATTGACTCAAATTTGTTTCGCTTCGTCTACTCGCATTTTGCTGCTGTGCTGCGTGGGCTACCTCGGGCTTCAGCGCTGGTGCCGGCTGGCAATTGGCAGGTGGAGCAGTTCGGCGTGTTCTCGTGCGGCCCGCCGCCCATGACCCGGTCTGTGGAGGACGCGGCCCAGGCCATGAACCGGTCCGACGGCGCCACATTCCACCACCACTTCGAGAACTTCTGAAAACAGAAAAGTGCCAGCGCTCGCCGGTCACCTGCCACCAGCACTTTGGAAACTTCTGAAAACCGCCAGAAGTAACAGACATATGGTGGTGCTGTACGGACTAGACCCTGCCTCTGCCACACCCGCCAGCTGGCTCACTTCGTGAACGGTACCGCAACCGCACGGGGCGTGCGTGCATCCAGAAACTGCTGACCTTGTCCTTGTGCGTAGGATTGCCGAGCTAGGAGGGGCACTATGATATCGCTTAGCCTGCTTTCAAAGTGGATATGTATGCTCGAGATGTACTTCTGTAAGGTGTTTTGTACCGCCTTCGCTGTGCTTTGCAGAATCGAAAAGGTGATTAGAGGAAAGCTCACAAAGTCGCAAGGACCACTGAAGATTAGATGTACTAGCCCAGAGCGTGCATCGGTCTAGCTTTACCATTAAAAACCGTGACACGCTAATAACCATCTACGAAACAAATAAAGCTTGAGCCGTGGACAAGGCCCAATAAAAGGGAGTTATGCTTACTTTTCATGTTCAATTTGTTATTCTGTTTGACAATGCACATGTGAAGAAAGACAATGTCGCATATATATATATATATATATATATATATATATATATATATATATATATATATATATATGCGTGTGTGTGTGTGTGTGTGTGTGTGTGTGTGTGTGTGTGTGTGTGTGTGTGTGTGTGTGTGTGTGTGTGTGTGTGTGTGTGTGTGTGTGTGTGTGTGTGTGTGTGTGTGTGTGTGTGTGTGTGTGTGTGTGTGTGTGTGTGTGTGTGTGTGTGTGTGTGTGTGTGTGTGTGTGTGTGTGTGTGTGTGTGTGTGTGTGTGTGTGTGTGTGTGTGTGTGTGTGTGTGTGTGTGTGTGTGTGTGTGTGTGTGTGTGTGTGTGTGTTGCTCGTCTATAACTCACCAATCTAACCTTTCGAGACCTTATCTCATCGTCCCAGAAATATAAGTGGCACAAGTTGTGGTTTTTTAAAAATAAGTGGCACAATATTTGTGTTTATAAACGAGAGCTGTGCATCACGACCTTAAGAACATTTTGAGTACAAAGGATACAAAACATTTTATATTTGCCTGGTTGCGTACAAAATACATCCGTAATAAAAACACTTCAAAGATACATAACCACAACCAAATGTACAGTAACTACAGCCCACCGCCCAGTAACTGAAGAGGTGAGCAATAGTTTGTTCGTACAGAGCTGGGGAGTATTCGTTGATAAATATGCTTTCTTAAATTTGAATCCGTCTTCTTTCATTGCATGTCTGAAGAATTTCATTGTCGTTCGCCAGTGGTTGTCGTGTCAATGTCCTGTCATTTTCAGAGCACATGTGCTCCAGAGGTGCCTTGTCGCGTAAGAGCATTGTAAGACGTTGTGAGGGTGTCTTGTGGTTATGCCAATGTGGTGTATGGAACGAAGTTAGCAGCCTTCGAGACTTTATTTAGCTGACTTGAGACCTGACGAGATTAAACTAGACCGTACACTTACTGTCGCTACGCAGACGATATCTTTGTGGTAGTAAGGGGCACTGACCGACTAGAACGTCTCAAAAACTTTTGAAAAGACCTGGCTTAAAATTCACGAGAAAGCTACGTGTGCAAAATGTAATACTCATCTTTGGTGTGACTGTTGAATAAGGCAGTAAGCGACTGGATACCGAGAGCAGGCTAATAATGGACGTTACTAAAATGTTGACAGTGGATGTCTTCACGCTAAAAAAAGTGATGAGATCATTCCTCGAAAGTGATAAGATCATTGCCTAGAAATGCATTTATATATGCATTATTCTAATTGGGCCGGATTACGTTCAGACTTTTGCAAACCAGACAGGTGTTGGTGAACAGCGCTTTTTTTAAACGCTGCTGTTGAAAACAAAATACGGCATATGACAAGGCACTTTGACAACAAGCCAAGATAAGACAAGTAGCCAATCGCCCCGTGGTATTATTAAAATCAAATGGTATCTGCCTACAACTATGGCAGCATAAGACAACTCGTATTGTGACGTGCAGAGAGTAGGTCCTTGTGTATTGATAGCGATGTCGAAAGCTATCGCCTGCCACGGTAACATCATTCTTAGCAGACTGCTGTGGCAGTGTTCGTGGCTTACCGGTCTCCACGCTGGGCGATGAACACTTCTGGTCATCTTACGTATACGCACATACCTATGCAGCATCGCTACACCACTTATGCCACCCATGCTGTTAGCTTGAGTGTTTTCCATCATTTCATTGCTTGGCATTATGAGTTCAGAGTTTTTATCTAGTGCTAACTATCTTTAAGATACCAAGAGAGGCTGACTTAACAATGCTGTAGTGCTAAATGACAGATACATTAATGGTGCTCAATATTTTGACCCTTGCTTATCTTCACTCAAAAGAAATTTCATTTTTATCATTCTCGCTTACCTTTTGGTGTTCAGTGGTGGTCATGCCTCGTAAGAGGGAGCGCTGTGGCTTGGAAACGTTAATTCGCAATCTGAATGACAAAAATGGGTTTATATGACTCTATGCTGAGGACGGGGATCTCTTGGCGAGCTGTTCATGGCAGATGGGTAGGTAGAGGAGAAACCCGTTGCTTCCTCGCAATGTGCGATGCCGCATACCAGAAGTCATTTATTTTTGCGAGCGAATAACACCACTTACACACTTGGTACTACTTAATATCGAGTGAGAAATCATACGTTTAACAGGGTTTCCAAGAAGCCACAAGCGGCCACGGATTGCTTAATAGCCGGTGCTGCAGGGCAAGATGCCACCTGTGATACCGTCGATCGATTGTTAAAGGCCTGAATAAGCTTCCGGTAGGAGCGACTCAGCGTTTGGCACAGCTTAGACGGTACCCGTCCCGGCTCCCGACCGACTGCGGCCGGGGCTTGTGAGCTCTGCACACTCGATAGAACTCGAGCGGCACGGGTCTAGAAGAACAGCGGTCCTCACGCGCGACAAACGTGGCCGTCACCAGTGACGCCCCGGTACGAAAATAGGTCTATGTCGCGATAAGGTCACCGAAGGCAGCACTGGACGGCCCGCCGGCCGGCGCCCTCGCGCCGTCGAGCGTCTGTCGGCCGCAGGTGGCACCACTGGCGCAGCCCTCTCCCCCCGTCAGGTACAGTGTGGCGGCGCGCCCCTGCTGCCATCTTTGGGCGGCCGCGTCAGGCTGCCGGCTCGGCCAGACGCGTGCCGGCCGGCTGGCGACGTACGTCGGCGCCAGCGCAGCGGCGCACACACGGGATGAAGAACAGCATCACCCCGCTGATGGCCACCATGGCGCCGGCCACGTAGAAGCCCGGGTCGTACGACTGGGTGGCGTCGAACAGCCCACCTGCCAACAGACGGGGTCGGGGAGCAGGGCAAGTCACACGGGCTCGCCCATGGACAGGCACTGACACCTCCAGCACCAGGCGCCGGTGGGTCACAACCTGCGCGTGAGTCCACGTGTGGTCTCACGTGCGCTCATTTGAGGAGCTCAGCATCGCACATACGGACGCACACAGGTGCCAGTTAACATGGCAACTCTGATCCGGCGGCAGCCACCTGACTAAAACCGCGAATTTTCTGCTGCCAACATCGCCAACTAAAAAAGTCCAATCTCGAGGTGCAAAAGCATGTTATTATGCAAAGAGAAATCGGCTACGTAGAAACGGACGACCGAGGCTTTCACTGATATATGTTTGATGTACAGTACAGTATGTCTCGATCGAAAATTTCAAGGATTTCTGGTTCAAGGACTTTGTTAATCACAGCAAACTTCTGAAGGCAGTAAATTTCGAATGTGAGCTTATTAAATGAACACCACTTTAACGCAGACAGCAGCAGGAAAATATGCACAATCGCCCTGTAAAGCATAACACTCCAATGTCCGAGGTGGCGTCCGCTGTACCCCTGCCGAGTCAGCGGCAGTGGCACTCCAGCGACCATCGCTGGCTACCCAGGCCAGGTTTGTGTCGTGAGATTCCGCCGGCGTCAGCGGCCGGTGTGTTGTCTCCAAGGAGGCGGATCTGGGTGACGGTCAGAAGTGTGTGGTGGGCCGGCCGGTGTGTTGTCTCCAGGGAGGCGGATCAGAGTGACGGTCAGAAGTGTGTGGTGGGCCGGCCCGTGTGTTGTCTCCAGGGAGGCGGATCTGAGTGACGGTCAGAAGTGTGTGGTGGGCCGGCCCGTGTGTTGTCTCCAGGGAGGCGGATCTGAGTGACGGTCAGAAGTGTGTGGTGGGCCGGCCCGTGTGTTGTCTCCATGGAGGCGGATCAGAGTGGCAGTCAGAGGTGTGTGGTGGGTCGGCCCGTGTGTTGTCTCCAGGGAGGCGGATCAGAGTGGCAGTCAGAGGTGTGTGGTGGGTCAGCCCGTGTGTTGTCTCCAGGGAGGCGGATCTGAGTGACGGTCAGGTGTGAGGTGGGCCGGCCCGTGTGTTGTCTCCAGGGAGGCGGATCTGAGTGACGGTCTGGTGTGAGGTGGGCCGGCCCGTGTGTTTTCTCCAGGGAGGCGGATCTGAGTGACGGTCAGAAGTGTGAGGTGGGCCGGCCCGTGTGTTGTCTCCAGGGAGGCGGATCAGAGTGACGGTCAGAAGTGTGTGGTGGGCCGGCCGGTGTGTTGTCTCCAGGGAGGCGGATCAGAGTGGCAGTCAGAGGTGTGTGGTGGGTCGGCCCGTGTGTTGTCTCCAGGGAGGCGGATCTGAGTGACGGTCAGGTGTGAGGTGGGCCGGCCCGTGTGTTGTCTCCAGGGAGGCGGATCTGAGTGACGGTCAGAAGTGTGAGGTGGGCCGAACTGTACCGGCAATCGGCGGACCGATGAGCGAGGCCACGCCCTGGAAGAGCAGCAGCAGGCCGAAGGCGTTGGTCAGCTTGTCCAGGCCGAGTAAGTCCACCAGGATGACGGACGTCAGGCCCACGTACGCGCCGATTGTGAAGCCGAAGACGGCCGCGTAGAATGCCAGGGTAGCAAAGCTTGTGCAGAAGGCACTGAACGCCGTCGCTGTGGATACAAGCAAGCTTGTTATCGATCTCTTTAACAGCTCAGTGCGTGGGGGAAAATGTGCACTGATGCAGCCATGCTTATTATAGTAGCATAAACACTAACAACTACGCTTCGTGTCACCATCGTTCTATTTTTGGCAATGATGGTCTTGAGCCGCATGACTGTGGCTGTGAAGCTGCGTTGGAGGGGGAGAGGGCGCGAAGTGACGTAGGGTCAACAGCAGAAATGTTTGGGTAGGAGAGGAGCAATATTCCAGCTTGATCTTGCTTTGATGTAGCAAGTCAAACAAGCGTTGCGGCTTCTTAAGTTGAAGGTGGCCCAACTTTAATGTGTCAAGATATACTGGTTAAATGGCATTACCAAGCGATCACTGATGTATACATAGGTATTCACCTATTCTGCACCTGTTACCTAATCTGTACTGGGTATTCTGTTGTATGTTTTTCAGGTAAGGCGTTTTTAAAAGTAGTTTGCCAGTTGTCACTTTGCACGCCGTTGTTCGGTGACGAGCTATGTAATGCATGTGAGTGAGCGCTTCTACCTGCAGCAAATCACATCATAGCCTTATATTTGGTACACGCCATCGTACCCTTTCGGCCTAGCCCCCTGCGTTTTGGGTTTCCCTTACACGGTACCGGCCCCGTCGGATATGTGGTGTTAGACGGGCGAGGTGGGATAGCTGCGATGGTGCTCGTGAGAAGCGTATTCCTAATCTTACTCTTGGTTGAGGTCATCGAGACCTTGCGTCTTGCCGTCTGTGTTCCGTGCAGCCCTTCGTAAAGCGCAATTAATCCGTTGTTAAGGTGCTAGCCTTGCATGATTATTTTGGCACCTTTGTATTGGGTGAAACAAAGATTCGAAGCACTTTCTGTCTTTCGCGCGCTTCGGGTTTTTGGAATGTTGGTCTTGCTTAACCGCGTTCACTCGTGGCCACCACCCGGAAGAGTCAACCTTTCTGGTGGTATACACCAATGACTTATAATGCCATTTAAACAACATCTCCCACTCTAGTGCAGGTCGGTTATTTCCCAGCTTAACTCGCAATCCCGAAAAGCCAGGAGCTCAACATCTTCATATCGTGAGATAAATCCTACAAAGTACGTCATAAACAGGTTGAAGCTTATCACTTCCCTGCTGTTATCGTCTATGGCCCGCCGCCCGCAACACAGGCGCTTAAATTGCATTGGCGATTATGACTACAATGATGATTATGAACTTGAATACACAGCTTTGCCACCGAGGGGAGCCGAGTGCGCTACCACGTCGGTGATGTACTGACCTAGGCCGGACAGGGTGAGCGCGCAGTTGTACACCCACAGCCGGTTCACGCAGGGACGGTCTGATATATAGCCGAGGATGATCCTCGACAGCGTGTTGCTAATGCCGACAATGGACAGCAGGAAGCTGGCGCGGTCCCTGTCGAGCCCCGAGTGGATCGCTTTGTCCTGAGAAATACAAACACCACAAAAATGATTTAAAAATGCCCATTATTTGGAACGAAACGTTGCAGCTGAAGCATGTCATTGAACTACAATGATAGATGAATACATATATATGTATGTATATATATATATAGAGAGAGAGAGAGAGAGAGAGAGAGAGAGGAGAGAGAGAGAGAGAGAGAGAGAGAGAGAGAGAGAGAGAGAGAGAGAGAGAGAGAGAGAGAGAAGAGAGAGAAAGATAGAGATAAATGTGTTCTTATATGCCGTCTGTTATGTCGCTGGTTTTGGACCAAATCACTGACGCCGTCGCACAATGGTTCAAGTCAAAACAACCATTACAAATGATCTTCGCACAAAAAAATTAGAAGACCAGCTGGTTATTATAATTGCGAAATAACACTACCTTACATCTAACCAGCTCTTTCGGGACAAATCGCGGGCTTTAAAAGGCGTCCTACACAAGACAGTGAAGTCATCATTTGATTACCTATAAGATGTCATCATTTGGCTTGACACCTGTATTGGCTTCACCTATGTGTCAGCTGTCAGCGCTGCAAAATTATATTTCTGGTATGTCCTCCTTTTCGTAATGTCCGAAGCCTTCGCACACTTCATCACGTGCGGTGCTGCACACTCACCACGATGTAGATGTACGGCACGTTGAAGCCGATGCTGGTGAAGAAGTTAGAGATTGCGAAGGTGAGGAAGACGGGGTCCTTGAGCAGCGCGAAGCCCATCATGTCGTGCAGTGTGTCGGCCACGTCCGCCGGACACTGGATACAGCCGCAGACGATGGCGCGCGCGGCCGGGTCGGCCGGCGCCGCCGACACATCCTGCTCGTACTCTCCCTGGTTCGACCTGGCGGACCGACACCACACGCGCATCACCACACTGCTGGCACGCTCGTGTCACCGCCGTCGGTGGCATGTTCACGGTATCACTGCCGGTGGCACGCTCACGCTATTACCGCCGGTGGCACGCTCACGTTACCACTGACGGTGGCACGCTCACGCTATTACCGCCGGTGGCACGCTCACGCTATTACCGCCGGTGGCACGCTCACGTTACCACTGACGGTGGCACACGGTGCCCTAGAGTTGCCGATTTTGGGTGTAAAGCAACATCCTATGAGGAGGAATCTTCCACTCCTTTTCCCCATGTTTTGCGAATTTTTCACTCCTTCTTGATATTGTCTAGTCGCACATGCCAAACCTATATTTACCTTTCCAAGGCTTTAAGATGTCATCCAAAACCGAGCTATCTGGAAACCACCCAGCATAACCAAGGCTCCACAGAACCTGGACGCGAAGGGTGGTGGTGGCCACTATGGTTATGTCCTGCCTCACCTACCTCTGAATCACGGCATGCGCAGAGCAAGCGCACCAGGTACCTTCAAGCCTGAGAGCCCCAGCGACTCCAGCCTCTCGCATGCACCAAGTTTGGTTCGTTTACAAAATGCATCACAATCGGCAGCTGCGTGTTAAATGCAACGTTTTCACGCATCCCCAATTTTGTTTAGTCTTACCACCGCACAACCAAAGCAGAGCATGGTACAAACACCAGCAAAGCCTAGTAGAGAATTTTACTCCACATATTTATTTTACTCAAAGAAAATTGACCACTAAATTGCACCGCTCCCGGAATACAGGGGTGAAATATTCTAATTCAAATTCTTCTAAATGGAATTTACACGCTAGATATCACCGTTTGAGCACTCATTTTCACAGATCTGAAGTCAAATCAGCTTATTACAAAATTTTGCCACAAAAGTATCAGTCTTTATATTTATTTAATTACTTTTGTTTGTCCTGATATGATACCAGTGTGATACAACTTTATTCTTCCTCCCTTTCCGATTGTCTTGAAAGGTACCATCTGTTGCTTTAAATGTTGACCAATTTCTCTGCAAAATGCTACAGCTGCAAACTTCCACGTATTTTATACATAAATTGGGTTAATTCGCCAGCTGCCCAAACATGTTTGATATGCACCCAACAGCGAACAATTCACAGGGAAGGAAGGAGACAATTTGAAGCACGGAGCTTATTTTTAGTGCCATTTTTGCGCTGTTAAACCCTCAGTCAGACATTTTTGGTTCATGGCAGTGTTCGACTATGACAAATCTAAGCCTTTCCGGTTTCGCCACCTCACTAGGCTATAATATCCTGCCATATAGCTTTGGGACAGACCTGACGCAGCTAATACAGAAGTGTTTGATGGTAAAATTCCGCCCTCTGGACCTGTCTATCATGCACATCTCTGACTTGTTTCGCATTTTAATTTCGTAGGCTGGTCGACATGACCGATGTTTATAATCGGAGGGTAGGCGGGATGACCATGTCTGTCAGCACACCATGCGAAAGGTGCTGACTTTTTGTTTGGGGGGAGCAGAAAGAAGTTTGTCCTTAAAAAGCCAGTAAGTATCTTGTGGAGCAAGTAATTGCTGCCTTACCTGCTTTCAACACATGACTTGTAGCCAGAATTAGCCATTTTCTGTTTTAATCCATCGGGTTTTTTCCATACGACAAATGATGATGCCACAAGACATGCAATTGACTTATTTTGTTCCATATTCTCGATTATTTGCCTCAAGCTGCTCAAAATGGTTCCTCATGGCTGCTTTAACCAGATGTTGTCCATAGTTGTCATGGTTTGCTGACTGGCAAATGACTACCGTATATATGCACTATATTTTTGACACAGGGATACTTAAAGCTACATGGCAATTATATGAGGTAACCATCATGCACGTAGTAAAGAGTTAGACCATCCTAAGAGTTATGTGACTTTTGGAGAAGAGAGATTGTTTTGCGGAGCATACCCACTATTGCTCTTGGCAGATGTTAACCATGACAATCAGAATAACCTGTTCAAAGTGATTTGAAGTGTTTTGATTTGTGTGTTGTCAACTTTGTCCGGTGTCAACAAGCCGACACAAATGAACTGAATGAAAATGCAAGTTGAAACCAGCCCAAAACAGGCTTTATCATGTTTTTATCACAAGTGCTGCTGTCAACAAATAGGTGAGCTGAGTTGAGATCATGTTCTAAGTTAGCCTAAGTTGGTTAATCGCGTGGCAGGTGGCAATAGGAATTGTGCAAGAATGAGTGACTCACAAATGCTGTTGTGATACAAACAGGTTAGACAGGATGAGATGAGGTAAGGCCTCTTTGGGTTAGGTATAGCTAGGCTACTTTCATGGAAATAAGCATTGCTATTTTGTAAGAAACAGTGACTAAATGTTTATTTTCCCTGGTGCCATCTTAACAGAAGCCAGAGGCATGTCTATTGTGTTTGACTTGGTGATGGGCCGATGTGCACGAGTCCGAGGTTTTTTTTTGAACGCTTTATGCTCGTTAAATTTTATGTTGTTGTTGTCACTGTCATTGTCACTGGCCCATAAGTTCTATCTTTTGTTCATTGAATTTTTCACTCTCATATGGCCTTTTTGTGATGAAATTTTTCACTCCCACCCTAGTACAAAAGCGATTCTAGCTGAATGGTGGCACACTTCCGTTACCAACGTCGGTAGCACACTCAGGCAACCACCACAGTTGGCATGGTCATGTAGCCGTGACAGTACAGCATCGAGTACAGTCCCTGTCCGCATAAGCCCCAAATCAGGTCACGTAATGGAAATGAGGCTTAGAGGGAAGCGGGTGCCTCTGGTGTGTTGGTCGATTTCGGCCACTTAATCTTCCAGCCGTCGTCAGGTGTCATATCCTGTCCTGAGAGCCCCGAGAAAGGCTAAATAGTGTTTGGCTCTTAGCTATGTACGCGTCACAGCCCGAATTACCTCCTTGAAATCGTTAGAATTTTACATTTCTTCTGATTGCGAGTCCAGTGGCTCCAACTGAAGCTAATACGGGGGAATGTATATCTGCATTCGTTATCTATCTATATTTATTAAATAATTATTCGCAGAGCTCAACAGCACCTGACAACGGCCGGAGAGTTAACTGACAAAAACTTTGTGTAAATACCAACACACTGAGCGAGGATCATAATGTTAGGATCAGTTAATCCATTTGTGATGCTAATGTATCTTCTGAATAATCATGTAATCCCACCCATACCCTGAGTGTCACTGCTTCTAGACCTGAGCCAACATTGCTGACAGATAGGTACGAGACATACTTTGTGTATGAGACAGCAGATAGGCAACCAGGTGGCTGAGCAGTCCGATGAAACACAATAAAATGGAAAATACTTGATGACAAAAAGATGCTTATCGCAGCTAGCGTTGCTAAAGAAAACCACGTTGAAAACGAACATGCAATACCCCCAGCCAGACAAACATCCCTCAAACCTTTATTGCAAAAGTTTTGTCATTCCGTTCGCATTGCTTTGAAAGGTTCAATAACTGCTACTGGGCTGGTAAGCTCGGGTGGTGTGATGTGTTTTGTGATGTTCGCGGGTGCGGGTACGCCCAATCAAGAAGTATGAAGTGGAGCAAGGAGGATGGGAGTTTGGGGTCAGACCATCCCTGCATTTTCAATCATCGATTGTGTCCCATGGTTTACTTCCACGCCAGAAAATCCTTACGCAAAAACATTTGTTTCCTTACTGTTATGCCGCCCATAAACATAACGAACGGTTTTGTCGTCGTTACCTAGCGTCTGTAACATATCCTTATGGCAAAAACTCATTGCTGTTACCCTTATTCCTTCGAAAAGCATCTTTGGATCAGCTCCAGCTGATCAGCTGGGGTGCTGTGATACCGCCCGGGACGTGCACCGGCGCACAATTAAGCAAAGGTTCACGGGTGGGGGAGGGGAGGATTGCGACGAGCCCATCACCGCGTGTTTCACGTCACCTACATAGCTATCACAAAATATGTGTATCTTGATGTCATTCTCTGTACAAGAAATTATTGAAAAAATCGTTTCTGGCCAGGTCAGCTTGGATGGCGCGATGTACCCCACAATGTTAGCAGACGCACCACACGAGGAAACACAAAGATGCGGGCTGAGGGACACTTCAGGACGAGGTGAGCGTGGTAGCGACTGTCGTGGGCGTGACCGCGCTACTGAGATCGTCGGGACTAATCAGGACGGCGGAGTCAAAAGAGCGTGAACAGCGTGCAAAGTACGGACCAATTTGGATCACCCATGCTCATCTTCGGATAACAACCATCATGTCTAGGTTACTTGGCATAAGCCCAAAACACTATTTGATATCAATAATTGTTATACATAGAGATGAGCAGACCCTGTCCTTTCGAGGCCGGCTACCGTAAGAAGATAGAATCGTTCCCTTTTGTCATTTCCCAGCCTTCAGCGGAATGTTTTCTTCGAAGTCTGATCATCTGACCCGAAATTTCTTGAAAATGTCCCTTCTAAGTAATTGACACAGGGCGGATTAGCTCGGGCCCCCGCTCCAGCGAGAGAGCTCGAACATGGTGAAGTTCCAGCCACGTGAATTTCAAAGGCCGTTTCATACAATCAGATACAAATTTATCCCTAGTGATATGCTATTGGGTATAAATTCATTGCTGACAGTCACTTCCGGTGGCAAATTTGTCCTGAGCCATTATTAGATGCGAGGAACGAATGCACCCCTGATTTACCACAGTATGGCATCAAACACGCCTTCAGACTGCTACGATGCGAGCGAAAGCTTGAATAACGATTCTTGCCTTTGTAAGTAGCAATTTACGGTTACATCTCTTGTTTTGGATTGCTTTCAAGTAAACCATTATCTGCATAGACTGCTCTCAAGTGCGGGTCATCCAGGCTGTGCGTGGTCGCACTAGATAACCAACAGAGGTCAGGTGATGTTGATTTGTGTCGGATCAAACTGATCTGTGACTTAGTAACGCTGTCAAAGCCAGCCAACGCGCAGAGAGGCTGCTGACCTAGATCGGAGAGCCTCCTGGGGTTTGGTCCACATGTTACAACTGTCCGCAATGCCTCGCTGTTAGCGACGCTGCCAGCTGCATGGTTCCACACAATGAACGCTCCGCTCGAGCCAGCGTGCTGGCGGACTCGCGCCACTGCTGTCCACAAGTGTGGTTGTCACCACACAGGTGTGCCCAATCTTGGCCAACACGTTAAAAAAAAACTGCCAAATCGGATCAGCTCCATTCACCCAATGACGCAAGAGCAATTGTGTACACTTATGAGAGGTAACAATGAAACCACTTAACTGAAGCTGACTGGTTTCATTGGGATCTGATACATAGATAAGACAGTAGCAATAGACAGTAGGCTTTTTCCTCAGAGAAAAACCAGGATATTGCAGATACAGATGAGCTTATATTTTGGCAACATGCCCTTATTAAAACCAATAGCAGAAGTGTGCTATTCTAACGAATGAAATGTAATGGGAAGAAAGAATTCAAAAGTGTGCAATGTTATCAATTTGTGCTCCTGCTCTTGCTGCATTTCGATAAAGGCATGTTGCCGAAATGTCAGTGCATCTACATCTCCATTTTCCTGGGTTTTTTCCGAGGAATAAGGCTATTAATGCTATTTTATATATGTGCATAACGTTCCTCGTAAATGCACTCAACAACTCACTAGATTTGATACATTATGTGGAGTGGGACCACACACACCTCGCTTAGTACCATACCTGTGTTACTGTCGGAGTTTGTTCACCTCACCACAGGCATGCAGCCAGCAGGAACCTCGCCAGGATGAGGGCAGTGAGTTTGAGGAGTCTTCCTAGACATAGGCTTGGCAATCGGCGGGAATGGGGCGCAGAGGGGCCTAAGCAAAGTGGGGCGAGGGGTCCTAGGTTCCCGTTTTGCCCAAAAAGATACCACGGACATGAGGCACCACACGAACATCGCACAAGCTTCACGAGCATCCATACCACGGACATGAGGCACCACACGAACATCGCACAAGCTTCACGAGCATCCATACCACGGACATGAGGCACCACACACACATCGCACAAGCTTCACGAGCATCCATACCACGGACATGAGGCACCACACGAACATCGCACAAGCTTCACGAGCACCCATACCACGGACATGAGGCACCACACGAACATCGCACAAGCTTCACGAGCATCCATACCACGGACATGAGGCACCACACAAACATCGCACAAGCTTCACGAACGTCCATACCACGGACATGAGGCACCACACGAACATCGCACAAGCTTCACGAGCATCCATACCACGGACATGAGGCACCACACGAACATCGCACAAGCTTCACGAGCATCCATACCACGGACATGAGGCACCACACGAGCATCGCACAAGCTTCACGAGCATCCATACCACGGACATGAGGCACCACACGAACATCGCACAAGCTTCACGAACATCCCGGGAATTCAGGCTTTCACGTCCGAGGATCCAGGACAAGGCACCGGTGAGGGCTGCCCGAAACAAAAAAGGACTAAGCCGAAAGAAATTCGGAGCATTTTGTGGATTTATGTGTCTTCGGTTTAAGTTGTCGATTATTGCTTAAAGTTTGTCAACCCTGTTCACTCGTAATCATCAACATAGTTTGAAACGTCGAGCATCACAAATATGACCAATGTTTGCTGTACGAAGTTGTTTAACCAAAGCCTCCCGGTACACAGGAAGTTGATGACTCAACACAGCTCATAATGTTGAAAAACTGAGAGCTGAACGTTCGTCTTACTTATTCTTGTCAGCCAAACTCACGAAGTCCTGCTGCGGGAACAAAGTGCGTGGCCTGGCCCGCGGCGCAGTCGGCACGGCCTGGATGGCCTGGCACGGCCACACACTCACGGACTCGTACGAGCGTTGATATTGTTTGGGCCAGGTGCCATAGTGCTGTAAGTACTTAGCGCCACATACCATGATGGTTTTGATGGCATTCATTTTACATTATGCTGTTATGATCGTGCTTGATGCCATAATTACCGTAAGGTCATGATGTTTCGTGGTGTATTTTTGCGCGGTGCAATGGTTGAGAAATGTGAATAAGATTGGCGCTTGTCTTGGTGCGCCATTACATGACTAGCGTACAACGCACTTTAAGAGTGTGAATGCCTTACATTTAAGATCTAGTACACATACCAGGAAACGGCCACTGTCTGTGAGACCAGATACAAACAAACAAACATGCATGGACAGACTGTTACAACTTACGCACCACTGCAAAATTTTCAGTGGACCTTTTGGACTTGGTAATACAATGAGCGTCATTAAAAGGCGCCTATGCAAAAATGCATTAAAAAATATTCCCTTCAAGTAGGTGCATAGTCCTCATTCCGTCCTACGGAGCGAAGTAGCCATCACTCTGGCTGTAGCCTGCGCACCGACGGCATGGTAGGTGACTGAGAGCAGGTTGGGAGTGGCACTCAGGTCAGGTTGGGAGTGGCGCGGTTGCAGACTGAGAGGGGCACGGCAGGTCAGGTTGGGAGTGGCGCGGTCGCAGACTGAGAGAGCCACGACAGGTCAGGCTGGGAGTGGCACGGTCGCAGACTGAGAGAGGCACGACAGGTCAGGTTGGGAGTGGCACAGTCGTAGGTTGGAAGTGGCACGGTCGCAGACTGAGAGAGGCACGACAGGTCAGGCTGGGAGTGGCACGGTCCCAGCCACAGCGGCGAGCCCCGCTGACTGTGCGGCTGACCGAGGTCGGCAGCTCACTTGTACTGAGGAATGTTGAGCAGACTGCCGCTGTAGAAGATGTCCTTGCGGCGCATCACCTCCAGGTGAGTGGAGGAGCGTCGGCCGGTGCCGCCGCCGCCCGGAGCATGCGACAGGTGCATGACGTCATGTGAGCCGAACCGCTGGCCGCCGGGCGCCGGGCGCGCCAGCACTGTCGACACGGGCAGGGGAGGAGGCTCGGTCAGTCCGCAGACCGCACGCGGCGGGCCGCGGCCGGCCGGGGCAGTCGGACGGGCGCCACCAGTCACCAGTTCTCCCTTCGGAGATGGTCCAGGGGAAAGGCCGGCCGGGGCGGTCGGACGGGCGCCACCAGTCACCAGTTCTCCCTTCGGAGATGGTCCAGGGGAAAGGCCGGCCGGGGCGGTCGGACGGGCGCCACCAGTCACCAGTTCTCCCTTCGGAGATGGTCCAGGGCAAAGGCGACGCAGGTGTCATCGAGAAGCACGGGGCGCAAGTCCAAGAACATGTGCATAATTTCATCGGGCCGGTATGGTATATGGCACGAGCAGTCATGTGGCATCCATGGAAAACAGATAAACAGGCACTTGTGCAGCCATGTCTGGCTAATGATAAAATCACGGCACAGATATCAGTTAAACTGGAAATACAACCATTGCATGGGACTTCTGGGTCCGCAGCGCATATGCAACAAACTGACAAAGCAGTTAATCCAAGCACAAACTCCACGGGCGAGGTGTGAGACAAACGGTGTGCTGCCCTAACTTGTCCTGTCACTGACTGGAAACTTGGGGCACTGTAAAGTAACGCTGAGTGTCGGCCTCCATCGATGACCTGCAAATGCTCGGCACCAAGGCAACGGTAAAACTATTCTGGACGGATTCCCATAGTCAGTGTCGTCTTGATGAGGGTCAGGGTTTACCCACTGGCTAGTGACGTGGATCCGATTAGCCACTGACCAGCGACGTGGATCCGTTTAGCCGTTGACTGGTCATGCTTATCCGTTTAGCCACTGACTAGTGATGCGGATTCGATCACTGACCAGTGACAGCACCGCCTCATCGGGTCGAGGTCAGACAAGAGGAGCGTCATGATCCTCGCTGGCGAACCCTGCAGCCGCCTGAGAGGACGGGCGGAACTTCACTTACGAGGCTGAGAGGTGGCCATTCGGCCCACCTCCGACTTGCCGGGCAGCACCACCAGGGGCGCTGCCCTCTGCTGGTCGGGTAGGTCACTGTCGGTCAGGTTTCTCGGCACGGGGCGCTTGGACGCACTACCGTTCAACGCCAGATCTTCAGCGGCCACCCGAAGCACGGGCTTGTTCAATACGCCGTTGGTGATCCTGTGAAGACGCATGGGCATCGTGGAGAAAAAGATACTGTTAAGAGACCGTGACTTTACTCTTGCATCGTTATCGATTGCAGACCTGACAGCAACGCGGCTTACCCAACCATATTGACTGTATGACTTCCAGCCAACCACCGGATAACGAACTGCCACCGCTGGCGCAGCTGATCGATGCCATATTTCTTCTGTGGCAACAGGACTTCGGGGTTGTACAAAGTATTGGTTTCACTCGCGGACTCGTCACTTGAGATAAAGTACCGCGGTACGTTTGACGTTTGATAAGGGAAAATAATGCCGAAAAGCAATGCTGCATGAATTGACAATCCATCCAGTCGTAAGCAGGCACCACGTACAATGAATTATAGAACAATGCGAGCACAAAAGTATGTATCTTCCTTTTGCAATGCAGGTTTTGCGCGCAATCACAAAAATTTACTTTATCCACAACCAAAATGACAGCATGGCATATGACATGGGACGAAGGCGATGCCGTGGTGCCAGCGCAGCTTCCCTCCAGCCGCACGTCACAGGGCGGTGTTCTCACTCTGGCTGCCGTGTGGGAGCGCGCACCGGCTCCAGCGGCCGGAACAGCACGCCGAAGATCGAGCAGCCGCACAGCACAGCCGCCAGGATCAGCATGGCGCTCTTCCAGCCGTAACTGCTCACCAGGCTCTCGGTCAGCGGTGCGAAGATGAAGGTGCCTGCCGGAGCACGTGTCGTTAGTGAGCAACATCACGCTTCGGGCACCCGAGTAACGGTGTTGATCAGACACCTTGAATCGACGATCATAAGCAAACTGAAAGCCTAACGTAAAACTTGAGATTCGGTTTCAAAAGGATTGGCGAAGATTACTTTCATAATTTACAAAAGCCTTGCAGCCACTAGTCATGGGCACATGTTCTTATGTTTTTACCAACGCGTGGCGAAATCGCCACGGCTTATCGAGTATCAGTGTATTGGAAGCTATCTACATGGTGGCTATCACGGTTTCAGGTCATACAAGTGTAGTATGAAAAGACACACACAAAAGGTAAACAACAAAATGACCCGAGCCACGGCCACAGGGCCAAAGCAGGCCCATCATTGCTCCATGGGCGGGACCAGACCAGTTGTCAGTGGTTAAAATCACATCACGCATGGCAGTCTTAAACTTGTCCCGCGCTGAGGCATCACAGGCGCGCGATGGTAGACGGCTCCAGGCAGCCGCGACGCGATGCGAAAACGCCCTCCGTGTGGCGGTCAGTCGGCACGGTACGGCGCCACTGATTACGACTGACGTATCCAGCGGCACGTCCTGCAGTCCTGATCAACCGAACGGGGAAGTGTTGCGGTTCATGCGGAACAGCCAGCTACTGGAGCAACACGACCGTTATGATGAAAACCACGCTGTCTCGGCGCACGGCGCGCGCTCGGATTCTACATATATCTAGCTGGGCTTATTAGAGGTGGATCACCACCAGCGCCCATGTCGCTGGCACCCCTCCACGCATATCTCCGCGATTCACGCGTCACCAACATCACTCCCCCACTCCACAGACGTGACTGGTCTAATGGCCCATCCACTGGTGCGGAGATTACGTACATTTGTGCCAAATTAAACGCAAGTTCTGGATATATTTCTGCTATCTTCTTTTTAGTGGCGTGATAAAATAATCTACGAGACATTTCCTGAGGCGCGTTCGTTACTCTCCACGTGCTCAAATAAAGCGATAGAACGGGCTGAGGGCGGCGGTACGATGGCATTTACCGCCAAAGTGTATGTGCATACGGGCCTACGGGACATGTGCACCGGCAATAGCAATATGTAATGTGGTCCTTATATATGAACAGGATTAACAGAATATGACTGTTCCTTTCACGCTGGAGGTAGAAGCACATTATGACGGTGAGTCTATGCGGGGATGACAGGGTTTCTTTCCATTTTCCCGCCCATGTCTTACTGCGACAGTAAAGAATTTATTGTGATATACAGCGGCCGCCACCGGATTCTGAATACTGAGCACATTCGCGGTTTACAGACACGAGAGTGCAGATCAGTAAGCAATAAATGAATGTCTGGGTGATTTATGAGTGACACTTTCACCTATTGTGCAGATGGTCTTAAATCGTTACCTGTTCGAGTTGCAGAAATCTGATATCAATCCTGATAAGAGAGTGGGAGAGAGAAATGGAGGGAAGGGAAGGAAAGGGAGGGAGGGAGAGAGATATGCGGGAGGAACAGGCAAGCCGCTAATACCATCCCAACCAGCGTGGCCAGAGTGTCCAGACCCAGCCTGAATTGACACCCTCCTGATGTCTGCTGTCGGCTGTCCACGATAATAGTCTGGGGCAGAGTGCACCCCTATAATTACACGCTAAAATAACTGGTCTTTTCAGAAAAAGTCTGCTATTAGACTTTCCCCAAGAAGCCAGATAATTAATAATTCCAAAAGCTGATTTCAACCCCTAACTTTGCCAAAGAACTGAAATGTGTAAACTTACGGACGTTCTCGCAGGGTGCCACAATGACCTAACGTGCTGTCGTGTTGAAAGCATCACTTCCGCATACACACCTTCCATAGGGTCAGTTTCGTGCTGAGAACAACAACTTGCAGGAGTATTACAGCGAAAATAGACAACTTGTGACGAAAGGAAAGTCGCAACACAAATTAGGAGGAAATGGCTAAATTTTCAGCACGTTTATTTCATAACGACATTTCCGTGCGTCCCATTCCTGAAAACTGTAGCGACCTTGACCAGCTAGGAGACATTTGGCAGATTCATCTGCACCTCCTTCAGAAGGGTCGGCGCGCGTGCCAAAAGTGTCGGCACGGACAGACCATAATGGCTCTCACCACAAGCTAACTGGCCTCGTTCGTCGAACTGCCGCGCCGTCAGCGTGTCAGAGGAGCTGAAGTGGAGTGAGGCGACCGTATCGCAGCTCAGTCGATCCCGACGAGCCCCCTCCCCCCCCCCCCCACATCCGTTCCTACCCGCCCACCGCCTGCCAGGAACCTCTGCGTGCGTTTTCGAGGCGGGCTGGATGACGTCATCACAGGACCTGCGCGTCAGCTGACCGCGGGGCCGGGGTTTGACGCAGGCGGCCCCTGCGTCTGACCGGATGGTGGGCGTTACTGGCAGTTCTTCAGAAGACAGATTACCACATCTGGTTTTCGGTATGATACCTAAATACTGTACCCAGTGTTCTATGAGCGCTGCGATTGATGGCCCTGACAAAGCAGCTGCTAGCACCCGGTAAAGCCTGCTGATGCTTAGGAACAAACTTGCCAGAGTCGCACTTTCGCTTCTATCCTTAGTAAGGAGCGATGACGCACTTGGAGCGGCTCCCGCCTGCTGGCAGAGCGTCGACTAGAAACGTCAATGCTTCACAATTTTAGGACCCACCATGCCTCCCCACTACTAGGGACATTCAGAGCACAGGTCCAGCCGGCTCTTCAGTGGGCCCAGCACGCTGTGTAGTAGGCCGAGAACGTTGTACAGTAGGCCCACAGCGCTGCTTGGTAGGCCCAGAACGCTGTCTAGTAAGCCAGGCAAGCTGCTCTACAGAGCCGGCGATCTGTCTGGGGGTCCGGCCAGCTGTTTCGTGGACCCAGCGGACCCGGTTAGGAGGCCGGCAGTTCCGGCCCCGGATCGTTGGACCCACCAAATCAGTGGGTACCTTTAAAAACAATCCTACAGAATCATACGAAGACCTCCTCCGCAAATATGAATTGGTATTCATGTAGTTCTACACAAGGACAAGTTAACATGCCTCTATTGTAATGACACATAATTTCGGATAGAAAATCCAATATATATTTTTGTAATGCCCCATAAAATGTTCACACAACGCCCTGCATGAAGAACAACAAAGATACAGTGTGCTGAGAGAAAACCATCGTAAAACTGCATGCAGCCTCAAAACAAAAACATGCAAACTCTGCATCATGTTTCAAATGAACATTAGTTTGCCTTTATACAACGTTTTACAGTAAACTCAAGCTGTACGAGATACATGGCAGACAATGCCTCTTCCGGGGTGACGAACGTATCGAATAATCCCAGGTGCCATATACGTGGTTCCAGGATATCCGATATGAGGACCACGTCACGTCCTGTTGAGACACGGTGCGGCACGGTCGATGGATAGACCGTAGGCACTCATTTTTTTTCACGGAAAGTTCTCGGTCATCCACGGATACGCATACGGACCCGAAACTTTTACTTCCAAAAATAGCTCGATCGGCCCATTGACGGAAGTAACAGCAGTCCAGTCTGAAGTCTGTGTTAACCTAAAAAGACATGTTTTACGGTTTTTAAGAAATGTTTTCTCATGGCAGGGGCGCAGAGCCAAAGGGAACCTGCCCTTTGACCCAAAACTGGGTCGGGCAGGGTGATCTTTACCCAGCCAAAACTGGGTGGGGCAGGGTGATCTCCACCCAGCTACGGCGAAACCCGGCAGATGATCCATAGTTGGGGAGCGAGAGAAACAACTGACACTAACACGATCACTGACGCTCCGAGGGCATAAGGAGAGCTGTCGGACAAATTGCATATGCTTTTGTACGAGCTGGTGCTCGGTCGTCGGTGTCAAGCAGATAACAGGAACTTAAAGAACAGAAGTATTTTCCTATTATGTTACTCAAAAGGGATTCCGCTGACCACCATAACGGTCCAGGCCCTGTCAGCCCAGGATCGGGGAGATATGCAGCGTCTCCCCCCCCCCCCTCCCCCCTCCCCCTCCGCAAGGCAGCTTATGGCCAGGGCGGTCTTCAAGCAGGAACTTACCATGCCCTTTCGTCAAATCAAGTACCCATTTTAGAGGGAGAAAAAAACGAGGGCGACGCCAAACCGAGTAGAGCGGTGTACTTAAGCCCCGGCGACGCTAATCCACGACGGAGAGACGCCCAAAACGGATGGAGGGTGTTCAGAGCCCACGACGTGTCGCCGCCCTCGAGCCTAAGCAAAGCCGCGTCCCAAGCTTGGACAAAGGTCCCAAGACCAGACAGGGAAACGTCCCGACTTCCAAGAGTGGTGGTACCTCTGACTACTAAGAGTACCTCTGGTACCTCTGACTACTAAGAGTACCTCTGGTACCTCTGACTACTAAGAGTACCTCTGGTACCTCTGACTTTCGCAGGAGAGTATCCCAATGATCCAGCAGGGGAAGGGGAAGTTCAGGGCGCATGTAATGGAGCGAGCCCCAAGCCCAAGTAGAACGGTGCCGTTTCATCCTAGGGGAGGCTGCCCAAAATTCGTATAGAGGAGCGTCACAACCCGACACAAACGGGGGGCCTAGTCTACTCGTAGATGGGATCCCAAGGCCCAGCTGCGGGTGCCCACGATCCCCAGCAGAGAGGCACCTCTAAATGCAGCCAGAGGGCGCCTATAACTGGAGCTGGGGAAGCGCCGTCGGCGTCAGATGCGGCGCTCCACCCTCTAAATGGATGCGTGGCAAAACACAAAGTCAGGGGGGCCTCCAGCCACATGAGGAGGCACCACAACGCCGGATAAGGGGACGTTTAAAAATTCAAACAGGCAGAAGCATCGGGTTTATTTAGCTCTATATAGTCCCTGGGCAGATGCAAACTCAAATACCAAATACAGCACCTCACCGAACGCACAGTGTCTCACCCAACCTCCCAAAAAGACGAACAAAGATGCGTTGCAAAGTGAAGGATGCAGTCAAGTTTAATGTCACCCTAGCTCTCAACTTAAGTCT